CCAGACAGATTCTGGAACCGAAGGCTGGGTCTTCTTCTACTCCTTCGATTGCAATGCGCCAGTCTTCAGCACATGGACAGCTGGCTCAGGGGAACGTAGGGAAGCCTGCTTCGTCATTCTGATGTGTGGGTTTTGGGGGGCCGCATCCCTGAACATGAGACCAATTTGCTTTGTGGCGTTGTGCCCACCAACCGCCACAGCCCAGCAGCAGGATTTCTGCAAAATGTTCTACTTGGATGTACGTGGCCTTCACGTGGGAGTGAGGAATGGGTGTGCTACAAGGAAGAGGGTGGCTTGTGCGAATGCTGTTCTGGTTGCGGCTTCTGCAAGAGGTGGAGATGCTTAGGACCAGACTTAATGCTTTTTTGAAGTCTGAAGACTGCAGTCAAGGAGGACCCAAACAGCCACAGGACATGGCTGTAACCTGCACAGGGCAGGAAAGGACATTCTGTTTTCCTGTTCTGAATAGTTTTAGCGTGGCTGGCAAGGGTGCCTGAAGGATGCCGGTCACCTTGCAGATTTTGAGAAGCCCAAATAAACCTCCCTGGTGTTGGGATTTTCTTCTTTCTTTTCCAGACTGTCCTGTTTAGGGCTTACATAACGGTCTTCCTGTCCTTTCTGCCTCGAAGAAACAGTGATTTTCGTCCACAGGAGAAGCTAAGGGGAAGAGTTGCTCAAAATAGGTGTGTGTTCCTAAAAAAAAAAAAAAAAAAGGAGAGGGGGAAAAACAATTGCAAAACACTCTAAGGAGAGGAAAGAGGAGGAGAGCAAAAGATTTCAAGACGGTTGCACAAAAGATGTGAATAGAAGAGGAGGTGGACTATCGCCAAAGGGAAATACCCACAGGCAGCCCAAAAGCGTGGCGTCAGAATCAGCGTGGGCGCTGAAGGATGCTAACAGCAACGAACAGGGCTCTTTCAACTACCTTCAAAATAGGGGGAAGGAGAAAGAGTTCCTAATCCAGCGGGTCAGTGAAAACAGCAAAACATTAACAGCTAATGCCAATAAAAAGTACAACTATTCAAAACTTACTTCGTCTCGCTATTCTCTGCAAAAAGGGCCTGTGTTCCACCAGGCTATTATAAGAAGCAGAACGAAGGGCCCGCACTGAAATTTGAGACTGACAGAAACACGGTCAGGGAATATAAATGAATTTCAGAGTAAATCCTCAGGTCTAGATGAATTGCCTCCTCAGCTACTAAAGGATGTTGCCGCAGGTTGGGATGAATCTTTATGAATCGTCGAGAAATTCTGCAAAAATTCTGTAGCAGCATCAAAAAAAGTCCTACTTTCAAAGGAGAAAAAAGGAGGACCCTGGGACTAAAGACCAGTCAGCTGACATGAGTATAGCTGGGAGCATGTACAGCAGATTATAAAGCAATCTATATGCAAGCACTCTATAAACAATGGGGTAATTACTAGAGGCCACTGTGTATCTGTCAATAACAAGTCTCATCAAGTTAACCTTATCTCGTGTTTTGATCAGGTTACTTCCCTAGTAGATTGTGGGAATGCTGCAGACGTAATATATCTGGACTTCAACACAGCTCTTGACAAAGTGCCCTGTGACATTCTGATCTGCAAGTTAGTGTGGGCTGGAGGGCATATCAATGGAAATGGATGTGTAGCTGGCCTGAAAATTACTCACAAAGCCTGCTCATCGATAGCTCCTCAAGACTGGAATGAGATGTGAAACGGGGTGCCATGAGGTTCAGGCTTGATTTTTTTATTAATGGCTTTTATGAGGAAGTGGAGGGAATGCTTATCAGAACTGCCCATGTCGCAAAGTTGGGTGGGACAGCACATACTCTAGAACAGTGTTTTTCAAACTTGGCAACTTTAAGATGGGTTGACTTTAACCCCCAGAATTCCCCAACGTTTGAAAAAGTTGCCCCGTTTGAAAAACACTGCAGTGGAAGATGGAAGTAAAACTGAAAATCTTGCTGGTCATTTCAGTCTGTTTTTCAGGCTGAAATGCAGACTGGAGTTACAAAAATACTCTTGGAAACTTTCATGTGGATTCCTGCACAGAGCAGGGGTTGAACCCAATGTCTCAGTGTCCTCTGAGGGTACCAAAAAGGATCTCAGGAGATTGATACAATCCAGGGGCATCAGATGATCCACAGCTGGTTTACACCTTGCTACAACAATTACATGTGCGCAGAACACCCACACTCATATAAATAAAGATCAGGTCTCTTTCTTTTTTACTTTTAGTAATTTAATGGAAGTTTCCATATCAGTGCTTCTCAACCTGGGCAACTTTAAAATGTGTGGACTTCAACAGCTGGCTGGGGAATCCTGGGAATTGAAGTCCACACATCTTCAAGCTGCCTAGGCTGAAAAGCACCGAGCTAGAAGTTCCACAGGTCCAGTTCTGAGCAGGGAAAGGGGAGGGGTGCAAATGCCAACCCAACAGCGGTGGCTCATCTGGCCCGCAGATGAGGTCACCGCCGATAAATTTTTGAGCCTCGGCCAGCAGCAGCCAGAGGTAACCTGCTCCCACCTGGGCCTCTTTCCCCCGGACCTGGAAAGCAGCAGCTTCAAGCACGGCCAGGGAGGATTTCACGCTTCCCCCCAGCTGCTGGCACCGCCTGGCAGGCCTTGCACACCCCAGAGCTCTCCGTCCCAGCTCCAAGCAGCTTTTCAGAGTGGCTTTAAAAGTGCATTCTTTGAGGCCTCCGCTGACGTGCGTCCGTTCTCCTTCCAGCTGGCGCCTTCCGGTTAGGGTGGGACTACAGTGCCCAGAACTCTGCTGGCGGGTGATGGGAGCTGCAGTCCCGGGACAACTGGAGGGCATCAGGCTGAGGAAGGGTGCCCCTGGGCTTCTCGCCGGGCAGCTGCACCGCCATCTTGCAGATTTCAGCCCTGTAAGTTCCAGCATCCCTGGCATGGATGGGAGTTGTAATCCAAGAGCGCTGGATGACCCTGGCCTGGAGGAGCCGGTCCCCCTCCCTTTCCTGGGCTTCTCTGCAGAAATGCCCCCCAACTTTTGTAGCTTCTCAGAGGACGGGGGGGGAGCGCTCCTTCGCCCCAGGCGCGTCCTCAGCGTAGGGCCAGCAACGTCAAGATGGCAGCCGCCACAGCGGGACTGAAGCTCTGCCTGGTTTTTATGCGCGTCGCTCAGGAAAACGGCCCGTGAGCCACTGGAAGGAAAACAGAAAGAGAAATTGCACCCTGAAAGCAGAACAAATCGAAATCGACAGCTTTGCTTAGAGAAGAATCATTGACTAACTCTAAGGCTGATCGGAAGCCCCTTGTGGACTTTTTGCGGCAAACAGAAAAAAACAAAATTATGATACATGGATTTGCTGATTAGGCAAATTAACAGACTATGCAAAACATGTACGTTAAGATGTAGCTTTAGAGTAAGAGGTTATTTTATGTTTCATTTATATCTGCTGTATAAGAGGTTGGAAGTCATTCTTCTCCTTTTCTATTTTCCAGCACTTTTGCTTCCTTTCTTTATCTCTAGCTAGCTTGCTTGCTTGCTTTTTCTTTCTTTCTTTTTCTCTCCTTCTCCTTCTCCTTCTCCTTCTCCTTCCTTCCTTCCTTCCTTCCTTCCTTCTCCTTCTCCTTCTCCTTCCTTCCTTCCTTCCTTCCTTCCTTCCTTCCTTCCTTCCTTCCTTCCTTCCTTCCT